AGTTGATCCCTAAGTCTTTTGAGCTCACTTTTGTGTTCGTAAATCGCAGTGTTCGATTTTAGGGATCTATTTTTTAACTATTTTGGATTGAACTATCGGAATCATTTTACATTAAGCTTGGCCTGTATGTTTCTTATCTATGGAGAATATAATAGAATTTTGTAATTCAGTTTCCAGATTGAATAATCTGAAATTTCGCTGAAATATTAAGAACTGTTACAATGCAATAATATCATGACTTTTACTTAGTATTATTACAAGGATCGTCGCAGCGTATAATAAAGTGCGTGTTGTGTTATTTATTTTATTTTAATTTTATAGTATAAGTATGATAAACGAGCACATAGTTCACCTGATGGTAACAAGATATTATCATCTACGCGAATATTCGCGTTATCGTGTGGCCGCATATTCGTGAATACTTCGTCACTTCGTGCGAAGTCGCAAGCACATCGCTTCGCTGTCGGTAAACTTCCGCACATCACAGTGTTTTATCGCGATGAACTTCGCTCGTGCGCCTACGGCCCACAGACATCGTGCGTAGCTAACGTGTAGAATTAAAGATATACGAGGTATTTTCGAAAGTAAAAATTTTTTGAAGTAATGAAAAGATAAATAATTTGATGTGACATTTTTAATAAATAATGAGATGTTTGACCGTATCCCGGCCGGGGCTCAGCCGGGCCCGACCCGGTCGCGACACGGTGTACCGTAAGCTGTCCCCTGTTGTGAAATCGTAGTAAGAAATAATTATTCGCTTTCAATATATTATAGAGCGACTGCGGCGTCCATTTTGTGTTTAGCGTGTATTAATCGCGATAAAACACTTTACAACGCGCAGTGTGGCCAGGTATTTTCGCCGTAGGCCGATGGCGAAGTTTTGTCGCCGCAATTCTATCGCGATGTGTGTGGCCTAGGCATAAGAATCAAAATGTAGATACATTGTCATCCTTGAGGACTGAGATGGAATACCTCGTCAAAAGGGTCTCCGATTCTTTACACTCAACATACGAAATGCAACAACAATATGCTCCTATTTTACTCTGCTATTTTGTGATAGGAGTATGGTCCTTCCCCGTTGAGCTGACCCATACCCATTCGTGTTGCAATCCTAACATATTTGCAGCATGGCTCTACCACGTGTAAAACGTTTTTAAACTCTGATACTATTATTATTATTGATATTATATTGTTGCGCGCCACAGTTGATGGAACTAGCGCCATCTGGTATCAAGTATCAGAAATAGAAGTGCCAAGATCTTTTTGGAACTCTCCCAACAGCGCTATCTGGTAACGAATAGAGGAATTAAGCTTTCTAGAAAGGACTACACTCGAACTTTCTGCACTTAGTCGGTCGGGACCGGTATTTGCTGGAACATTCTGGGCCATGAGCGCAGGTGCAGACCGGTATGCTTTCCGTACCAGATTCTCCACCTCAAGAGCCCACTGCTGCAGTTTTTCGTTGATGCGCTGCACGCGATCTTTGAGCTGCGCACGAAAGACATATTCCAGGTGAGCGTCGCCATATCTCGCCTCCAATGCCTTAAGGAGCTGCTCATAAGTCACTTCCTCACCGAGAGCTTCCAGAACAGTTAAGGCCTGGTCGTGCAGGCCTAGTGTCAGAGTAGTTTCGGTGGAAAAGGTGTATTTAAAGCCGCTGAGGGCCGCGACCGGGGCAGTATTGAATTGGCGATACGAGCGAAGCTTTCGGAGTGAAATAAAGTGAACTAAAGTGTTAAGTGTGAATAATTATTAGTGTGATTTAAGTTTTAATTGGTGTTCAGTAATTATAGTGTCAATTTGGGCAATTCAATCGGCAGCTTTTATTGTCACGAACCTTAAGCTCATAAGAATAATTATTATATAAGCAGCACCTTCGACGCTTTAATATAATAAAAACAGTTGTCCAATTTTCAAAACCCTATCTCAAACTTATTAGCATAAAAGTCTCAATTGAAACTAACTCCCTATTATGATTACTCTATTATTAATAAAAATAATAACTACGAATATTGAACATCGTGCTTCGTTTTATCACAATACCTGCTGCAATTTGGTAGAGAAAAAAGCTTTCATTAAATCCTTGACTAAGGAAATGCAATGACTCAAATATTGTAGTTCACAAGCAGTTACAAGTAGCTTGAATCATTTATTTATTTAACAAAGGAAATTTTTAAATTATCCGTTGAGATCAAATTATCATGTGTAGCTATAATACTTGCAATGTGAAATTAAAAAGGAAACATAGCGTCGCAGTTACATAGTGTACAAATTTGTGTAATGGCACCTCACTATATTATAAGATTACTACCAATTCTCCAAACTAGGCCAAGCTCAAGATATGGTTTTGTTGTTTTTAGCAGTTTTATAAAAATACACCAATCTTGATCTGTCTCCACTATTCAGTTTCATATTCAGTGCTGTCGAGGACATGTTTAACAAAGTACACAGTAGGCATACTACTGCTAGATAGATTGTATGACATACCTATCAGCAATTGTATACCTTCGGTGGCGTTAAAAAAAGCTGTTTCGGTAAGCTTGAGCGAAAGAAAAAGATATTTACATACAATACAATACATGAACAAAAGAAAAGCATCAACAAAGTACAAACAAACTACGTATAAAATTAAAAAAAACTTCTAAATCGAATTGTTTGTCTCTCTTTCTAGATAAGGCAAGATTTGATTACGTCCGCGTAAAATGTTGGTGAACGTTTTAATTGTACCAATAACTGTTTTTCAATTGCGATAATTGATAAGCATGAAAGACGCTCTTGACCTTGTGTAGTTTCTCAACAAAGTTTAAAGATTTTTACTACATTTTTTACTAAAATCTTTAAAAAAGCATAAATTTCCAACTCGCAATATTTATAAATTTTTATTATTAATATTTGGTAAACAAACAGAGTAAAGAGTAAACATTGAAATGTAAAGTGAACTTGCAAATATTTCGCCGTGCACAACTTCACGCTATAAAGCCCGGCTTTTTGCTTCATACTAATAGCTATATAAACATTTCGTAGTTATATTTCATTGTAGAACATTTTGCCACATGTTATAAAGGGAGCGATTGTCTTCTAGAAAGCCCGGTAAAAGCCCACGCGTGCGTTTCATTAATTTTGAGAGTCCATTGTGTGTTCGCTTTGAACACACAATGAACAGAGAGAACACGAATCAATGTATTTTGAATTGAAGCAAACTACCAAGTGTTGACGTTATATGTATGCTAAGAGGTCATGTGTAGAACAGAGGAGCGCGCGGGATTTTGAAATAGTTTGAAACAGTTTAAGAGTTATTTTATTTGTTGATATTATTGATTGAGCAGTTTTATATATAAGTCAAGCCCGGCTTTTCGGCTTCTATGGAGGCTTCGCCACTGTTGATAGGGAGCAATTAATAATTTGTTAAATTATAAATAAACTATTTTTGGGATGAGATGATTGAAACAAATTAAAATTAAAAATTATAATTTGTTTCAATCATCTCATTTAGTGCCAGATTGATGGTCGCAGCTTCCGATGTTTGTACCTTTGATGCTGTTTCCTGTCCTTGGAGACGTTATATTTGGTGTACATACGACATACGAGACGATAAATTAGCTATCGAGCGAATATAGATAGCCATTATAATCCAGTAGTTGTCTACATTTGTAAAGTAAAGTAAAGTTACAGCCTATATACGTCCCACTGCTGAGCACAGGCCTCCCCTCATTTCTCAGAGGGTTTCGGGCAAGGTAGTGTCCGCCGCGCTGCCCCAATTCGTGTTGGCCATTGATTTATATAACCCTAGATCAGTAATAACCGCACCAAAGCGTTGCCACTGCACATATGGCCACAGCCATATGCCTAGCTAACGTGAGTTCATTGTTCAATGTGACGCCGACAGAGTTGAGCCGCGACAAAAATGGGTAAATGTGTAGTGAAAGAATGCTATTCAAGGTCACAAAAACGTAATAAATCAAGCGGCATCACTTTCAACACATAATTTTTAGTTCCTGTTTTCATATAAACGTAAAAAACCTCAAATAATTAAATAAAATTATCGAATATTGCCATATAGGTTCAATGTTGCCACTTTTCCGCATTTGTGATTATCCTACATTAATGGGAGACTATATAATTAATGGAGTAAGTTAATTTGTTACCTCTGATTTTAAATATTTTGGAAATTATAATAAAAACTACGTTTTAACTTTCATACAAAATAATTAATTATTCTTATTTTAGTTTATTCATGAATTATCTATAAAATATATTTTATTACCTATTTTATATTAATAATTTTATATTATTTATAATTTCATATAAATTTTATATTAATTACATTTTATTAGATACCTATTTTATATTGTTTGATTTATTAGAACCATAAAAATACGTTTTATTTCATCATTATGTTTACTCTATTCATCTGATAAGCTTTGTATCCCTTTTTTTCTAAGGGGACGTAATAAAGATTTTAAAATAAAATATACTTTTTTTAATATAAAAACAATTAACTCCAGCTTAAAAAAAAACTCATATTTATTTTGTATTTTAGGTAAAATTTCATATAGTAAGCCACACCAACCCGCCATTGCATGTTTGTGTGTCTATCTTTATCTAATCTTACGACGACGATATGGTTTTCACAACTTGTGTAAGTGAGATAGATATATGTTTACATAAAATTGTTATTAGTTTCAAAGCTACGTCATCGCGTTTGGATAGTGGTTACACTTTTTTCGACGCGCGGTAATGTGGTTTGCTCCTCTAGTGTTGTATAACTCAATGGTGTTGGCGAACTTCACATGTCTTCGAAAATATTTTTTTCTTATTCCTGAGACATGCAGGTTACTGCAGGCACTTAAAATTGCAATTAACAATTTCATTGGTGCCGGCGGGGATCGAACCCGGGCTACTCGCGTCCTGTTATATTTACAGCCAGCGTTAACCATCTGAGCTACCACGGCTACTACATTTGTGATGAAATATAATTAACGTGTACGGTTGGCTTACAGTATAGTCCGACTGTTCGCCCAGAACAAAGAGGATAAAAAGCGAGTGGAGAAAGCGCTGAGTGAGTCTGGCCTGCCGACTGGCAAGAACGACACCATCAGCCAGTCCAAGTTCCATTTTGAAGATTTTTTCGCCTTCTATAAAAGTCTTACGCAGCGAACCGAAGTACAGAAGATCTTTAATAGTCTGTAAGTACATATTGTATGAATACTTCTATTAGAATTATAGAATAAACTTACTTTAAAATACAGTGACTGATCTAAAATTTTACTTGATTGCGAAACGTTTTTAAGTCACTAATTATTTGAGGCTCATTTTCCACTATCATTTGTAACGTTACTTGTATCATGTCATGATGCTTTACCTACACTCTTCTTGGTCAAACTAAATATGCTTCTTTCATATAACGTAAAATAAAGAAGATATAGGTAACGTCTTTGTCAAGCTTTCCTAAATACGACGATGAGCAATATGTACTTAACCGTGTTGGGACAGTGTAACGTATGAATCAAAATGTAAAAGCAATTAAAGTCCTTGTCATAAATATCCTGATAATAATAACCAATGACAAACATAACAGCTCATGTCAGTCAGCTTACAAAAATACTACAGAATATACTTGTTTATATAGCGCATCCAGACAATAACAACGCGAAAGTGTAATCATTCAAACAGTAAAAATACATTGAGCAAATGGCAACTATAATTCGCAGTAGAACGTTCGTCAAAATTTTGTTCGTCGAAGAAAATTTTAGAATGTGCCGCTAAATATTTGTTGTAATTTTAACCCGAACGCTGACTGCTGACGTCATTTGTTCGCGAACCAAATGTTGTATACACCATCGTATAACCATCACAAATTAAAGAAACCATATATTTGTAATTTTGATACTGTCGTAGTTGGGCTATGTAAATTTATTCATGCTTCCATTACAGTCTATCAAAGTCTCCTGCTGAACATAGAGCTCCCCACAGATTATCGCACAAAGGGGTTATTATAACTATACCATAGTTGTCACGCTCGGCAAGCGGGTAGACAACCGCCATAAGACTTATTTTTTTGAAGACACTGCTGTCAGTTTCCTGGTTTTTTCTCCTATTTTTATATAGAATAAGGGTGACAAACGAGCACACAGTCCACTTCATGACGCCTCTATCGCATCTTACGACACCCTCAGGGCAATAAAGGGAGTAGTGGATATTTTGACAGCGCCACTATACGGTCATTTGGTTGGTTATATGACAGTAAGGAAATTCGTAAATGAATTTTAGGTACCCAAATGCTCTTGATAAAACTTGTAGCTATACAGCACTATATCTTTCATCAATTTCGGGTTAAATCCGGAAGCTATCGTCATGGTCATATTCGGCTTCGCGACCGAATTCGAACATTTTCTCCATCTGCTTTGTATTCTCCTGAAGCAAACAGCACAATTTTTGTTTCTGAAGTAATTTTGTGTTCTAATATTTTTTGAAATTTATCTTATCTTTAAACATTAAATCTGCCAATATCAAGCACGCTCAAATGAAAAACACGTAATGTTATACGGAATTGGGTATACCGACTCGTGTATCAAATAAAAGTGGATGAAAAAAGCTTTTTACAACAATTTTTTAAGAATATTCCTCTATTATGTTGCAATTAAATATTTTATTACCTTCCAGTGTTTCGAAATTTGATAAGAATTTTTGTTGTTGAAATAAGTGTGATTAAGCCTTAAATAGACATAGCCCAACGGATTAGTACGAGTAAGCTGAAGTGGCAATGGGCCAGCCATATAGATCGAAGAACCGTAAACCGACGAGGAAGAAAGGTTCTTGAGTGGCAGCTTTGTCGGTAGGCGAAGTGTAGGGTGGCCCACTACTAGATAGAGTGACGACCTGGTAAGACATGTAGGAAGTCGATGGATGCAGGTGGCTCAGGACCATGCTTTGTGCGATGTTGCGATTGTTGCGATGCCGCCGCCCGCGTAGGTATTTATGCTAGGAGCTGTCACCAAAGTGAAAATTAAATGATTTTGGATATTATAATACAAGGAGTATTACATTTATTGATATTATGTACATACTTATAAGTTAAAAACGTCTATTTAACAAGATCATTTTTATTACTTAAAAAGAAAACACATACAAGTTTTGCACTCCCAATAATTTTGTGACGCTTTCTTTTTATAGATTTTTTCAGTTTTCGATTGTTAAATTTAATTATGTAATGTATATGTAATGCATTCGGATAAACAATTTTATCAACAAAAAATGAGGGGAATATATTCATGGCTGTTATTTGAATTCAATTCTGCTTAGTTACTCATATGTATAACTATAACAGTAATTCGCCATTCTAGATATTATATATTCAAAAAACGGCACTTAAAATTAGTTAAATAAGTAGATACTAAAAAACACGCTAGCACCAACCGCATGTACTGTCTTATCAGACTCAGTGAAGTGCGATAGCACAAAGTCGGCCTACCCCCTGCCTCGCAGCACCCCTACCGTTGCTCTGCACAATTACAATCGTTTTCTAACTGTAATGTCTTTCAACTGTGTTTGTGGCATTCATTGGGGGAGGCCTATGTTCGGCAGTGGACTTGTTAAAGGCTGTAATGTTGATGACGATGATGATGATAAAGCCATAAATATATAATTGAGAGAACATAGAGGGCATAATATTTAATTTGTTTTTAATTTAAATTATATTTGTATTATAAAAATTAAGTACATTATTTTTTTAGTAGAATTTAATTCCATTATTCGTTAATTTCATACATAAACCGCCTTATTACAAATCGTGGTTTATTGATGGTATTAGAATTTAACTATGTTTTAGATAGAAGAGTCTTTCTAATTCTAAGTAGGGAGTTAAAAAGTCCCTTAGTTGCGGCGCCACAATTTTAGATAGAAGAGCCTTATAATTCTAAGTAGGGAGTTAAAAAGTCCCTTGGTTGCGGCGCCACAGTTTTAGATAGAAGAGTCTTTCTAATTCTAAGTAGGGAGTTAAAAAAGTCTTTCTAATTCTAAGTAGGGAGTTAAAAAAAGTCTTTCTAATTCTAAGTAGGGAGTTAAAAAGTCCCTATAGTTGCGGCGCCACAGTTTTAGATAGAAGAGTCTTTCTAATTCTAAGTAGGGAGTTAAAAAGTCCCTTGGTTGCGGCGCCACAGTTTTAGATAGAAGAGTCTTTCTATTCTAAGTAGGGAGTTAAAAAGTCCGTTAGTTGCGGCGCCACAGTTTTAGATAGAATAGTCTTTCTAATTCTAAGTAGGGAGTTAAAAAGTCCCTTGGTTGCGGTGCCACAGTTTTAGATAGAAGAGTCTTTCTAATTCTAAGTAGGGAGTTAAAAAGTCCCTTAGTTGCGGCGCCACAGTTTTAGATAGAATAGTCTTTCTAATTCTAAGTAGGGAGTTAAAAAGTCCCTTGGTTGCGGCGCCACAGTTTTCGCAAAATTTGACATTTGCTGTCAAATACCACACTATATATTTTAGTTAGCATATTTTCGCGAAAAACAGATGCCTGAGACTAAATCATAAACTACTCTTTGTACTTTTTGGAATATGTTTATGTGAGTTTTTATCGTAAAACCTTCTGAGTGAATCAGTTTATGTAGGCCTGATCAATATTTATCTACAACTTAAAAGGTTTTTGTATGTTTATCGTATACATTATGTATTGTGAATGCGAATCCTCACTCTTCAAGTATTGCACCTCAATCACTCCTCCCTCGTCGTTTGTATTGTATACATTTGTGTAGACCGTTTTATTGGTGCTACGCTGTTTGTACTACTCAATGTAAATTGAACGTATATCGTATCTTTTATTTGTTATTTTAGAATCTTTTTAGAAATCACTCTCAAAAATATTTATTGAAGGAATATTTCCCCGTAACAACTTTACGCTATACAACATTAATTGAACAGTACACGAGTTAGAAGTAAATACAATATGATAGATACTCTAAAATAGATGAATTGTACAAACCAGCAGCAACACTCCTTGTTAGGATGTGACACAGTACAGTCTCTGCAACTTAATCAGCAGCCGTACTGTCTGTCACGATGTGGTACAGGGCAGGCTCTCTACAACCATATACCAAGTTTGTTATACTAACATAATTATCCTAACGGACAGAATCAAGACACCAATTAAATGACTCGTCGAATGATTGATTTTATTGATTTAGATATGTGGTTATCATAATCAACAATGATTATTATCATCACAGATTAAACACTATCTGAATCAATGAAATCAGTTTTTCAACGAGTCTTTTAATTGGTGTCCTGATTCTGTCCGTTACGATAATCCTTTTACACGATAGTGTTGTAAACCTTCGGGCGTCTACAACTTAATGTGACTTAGGGCAGTAGTATTGCTTGCGCCGTACTTTATACTGCTCGAATGAGTGGGGGCTTAGATTTATACACCCACTTCTTTTTATCTCCTTTTCACTTTTACCTTTATCTCTAATAGTTAAACAAGTATATCGACCTACTTCGTTCTGAGTCTTGGGATCGATTTGAAGTTGAAATGTCAGTGCATATCCCATGCTAAACAATAAATATGAGTGTATTATCATAGTTATTGTTTTTCGGATTTAGGTATTTGTGATTGTTCTTGTGTGTCTGAATCCACATCCTTGGTTATCTTTGATTTATCGCGTATTATCGTGTTAGTAGTATTATTATTTATTCTGTGGTATTAGTGAAACATCGGCCATAGGTAGGTTAGGATAAGTGAGTGCGGCGTTATAAAGTCTGTGTAAATTATATTTTTCCATTATTACGAAGTTGTGACTGTGGACGAAAATCGGCTAGAAGGTCTTCACCGTCATCATTATAACATTAGAGAAAAAAAGAAACGTTTTAAAGTTTTCGAATTCTACTGAAAAAATAATGGACACTTTTTTGTTCAAAGATATAAACACTTATTTCAAGTAATTAGAAAAAAAAACTTCTTCATAATTTAAAAGCTAAGTCAGTGCTAAGACAAAGTGTTTCGAAGAGCTTGAGAAACTTTAAAATTATGTGCAAATTGATTTTTACTCTTTTTAAAGTTTTATTAATATGTAAATCTTTTGAGTGCACTAAAAAGTTCATAAGATCAAAGTGGTGATGTTTATATTTTCTTTTTCTTTTTTAATGTCTCATAGCAGTCCATTGTTGGACAGGGACCTCTTCTGACGTCATGTTTGGCGGATTGACGATCGCAGTGCCAGACGTCACGCACCTTCGACTCTGCTGCACAATGCCGGTCTAAATATTAAATGACATGGTTATACCGTCATCTATCGGAAGCGATAACATTTTCCCGTCATTTACATAGTCATATTAAGAGGATTGTGAATTGCTGGCTGCTGGTACGCGGTGCGAAGTAGGTATTTCCAAGAATACTATCCGTTTCTTACCGCTCGTTCTGTATCGGCGTATCGTGCGATAGGGAAAGCTGCAAGTCTTTTTTGCCTTGCCTAAACTCCCTTTTCGAAATACTGTTTGGAGGATAACGCTTTCAACCCTCTGAACCTTTACAAAATGAGACAATTTTGATCTCATTAAATTCAGTACACCTTAATCTAGGTCGTTTTTGTACGTTTTTCTTTTTTAGTAATTCAGTTTAGTTTAATTAAAAAAAAATAAAAACGCTCGATGAAGTTTTTTAAGTGAAAAATATAAACATTTAGATGCTAATAACTTATATCGAACACAATATTTTTTTAAAATAAAAACATTTAGACCCAGTTTTTTATTATATCTACAACATTCTCTAAAAGTTATTGTCATTAGACTATATTTACGGGGGTGTAAGCCCTTTTTTGCCTTTTGTATGAAAATTTACAGCTTCACAATCCTGTTAAAATATTATCCTCTATTTAAACGGGGTCACCCTCAAGATATAGCTATGCAATAAAAATAAGTATTTAAATCATACATAATAAAACTATAGTTGAATTCAAGACCTCCTCATTTTTCAAAGTAGGATAAAAATATGAACATAGCGTTAACTACAAAAAATCCGTATCCGCATCAAAGCGAAATTTCTATGTAACTATAGGCACTGAATTCGGCTGAAAGTTGTCACAGCTAACTTATTAAATCATAATTTACCATTTAGAACCGACAACAAGCCCCACTTGTCGGCCAACCAGTTGGTCGACTTCCTGAACGACGTGCAACGGGACCCACGACTCAACGAGATATTGCATCCGTACGCAGACATCCAGCGCGCTAAGGACCTCATTAAAACCTACGAGTACAATAAGTATCATCAACAGAGATCACAGCTGACCTTCGACGGATTCCTCAGGTAGGTGGATAATAAGCGTTATATACGTATTGTGGATACATGAAGTCCGCCAACACGCTCTGGATAACAGAACTAAACTGAATATAGGCTGACTATAATAGCAGACTTTTTCTTTTAATATTAAAAGGGATTCGATTTTTATGGTTAGGATTTTTTAATTGTTAGAATTCTACTATTGTACGAGATACTCCCCTCATACTCAATCATATTCTAACTACGAGTACCAACATGAATGCATTCAGGAAATACCATCAGAGCGGATTTCTCCGCCCGATTCAACACATTTTAGGTCGTCCAAGCAGAATACACCCTCCTTTGAAATAGAAAATATTCATCCTAAATTTATATATTTTAAAAGCCGCAAAGATAAAGATTTTTTTAAATGTCTTATGATTTATGTAGTCATTTGTTTCAAAACGTTTTAGTGGTAACTACACTTTCTATAATAGAGTAATTAGTGATGTGAATTGAACTTTCACTTATTATTGGTATTTAAGTACCAGGTTTTAGATTGTTGCTTTTGTTATTTACGGATTGAATAGGTATCTTCGTCATCTATTATTACTCCAACGTGGCATTTATTTGCTTTTTTGTTTTCTTTTTTGTACAGATAGTGTGTGGCGCACAGTTTTTCGGGAGCTAAATTTTCAATTGTGGTATTCGGTGAGCAAAATTGCCATGTTTGTATGAAACATATGCCTTTCTAGTGCTGTAGTATGAAATAAATTAAAGAAGAAAAGAGATGCCAGCCAACACATTCACAATGAACCGACATTGGTAAGCGTATTGTGGCATCGTCGCATACGGACTTTTGTGATATCAATAATGTTCATGATGAAAATTAAAAATAATCTGGTGAAGGCGTCTTCGTCCGTAATAGAATGTTTTGTCCAAATTTTCTAAATAACACTGCGAGAAATTACTATGCGGGCGGCGATTATTGACCTTAAGTTCTTGGAGGCCAGCCATGTTCGTTCGTTCGTTCCTTTTGCAGCAGGTTGAATCATTAAGCAGTACTTTCTTCAAGGGATTCAGAATCGATTCCTGCAGTTTTACGGAATATAACTGTCGTTACGGCCTTGACCATGGGCCAATTTTTCACCGAATGGACGTTAAATTGGTAATTTATTTCCAATAAATGTATTAAAATCCCTTGCATTAAAGACATGCGAGAAAATTTCCGTAGACTCTGCTATTCTAATAGAGATTTTCACAAATATTTACCTCATAGTCGTAGATCACGTGTATTGCCGCACTAATGGTTGCGCTGGTGACGCACAGGTTGTTCAATTCACATATTGATTAGTGAGGACGTACCTTAAAAAGCGAATCTAGACTATAATTTACTGCAATTCCGCCTATTTCTAATATGACGTAACTAAAAATAATTTTATGTGCCACTGAATTGTATGTTTGCCTATTTAATGTATTCTCTGATGTAGGTAGTTTATCAAAAAGCTTATGTTTGTTTGTAATATGTTGACGATTTATCTTTTCGAACAGAAACATAACAAAAATACTATTATTTTCCTTAATAATATCGTGAAAAAAAAATCAGAGCTATATATGCGAGATATGCATTTTTTTAACTCATACCACAGAAAAGTACATTAATGAATGAAATGCATTTTAATACTGTTTGTCTGTGTACTTCTACAATCATTTCCAAGCGATTAAACGCTGGCTTGGCTGCAGTATAGCTTATGACATTAGTTATCGATAGTAATTGAAAATTGAAAATTGTATCGATAAGGTTGTCATTTAAGTGCACTCGTCTGCGATTGAAATCTATTCGATTCATGTTGAATCGTGGATTGATTTAGTGTGTCTATACATTGTCATTTATTGTTGTGATGTGATATGAACTCTTGTTACTATTATGTATTGTAAAAATCAAAAAATTATTTGCTTTAATTAATATTTTCGAACGATATTACTCTAAAGTATGACTAGTTCAAAATTTTTCGCAGCAAAATTTGGTTTTTCAAGTTTTTTTTTGCATTAATAATAAATAAAAGAATTTTTTCTTATGAATGTAAAAGAGACAAAGAAAAGTCAGGTATTATCTTTTTTGGGTTCCCGAGGTGACGTACTGAATAAATTTTTTCATCTCAGCTTAAACTATTGCATAGTTTCCATTACAGATTGAAAAAAAAAATCGTTCTATTAATACTATGGTTTATGTTCAATATTGATGACTATGATCTTGACTCAAAATTGATATTTTAATAAAGTCAACCACACAACATAACGAAAAACCCACTGATATACACAATAATTTTAGGGGATTGTAAGAAGTAATATACCAATTTTTTCCCAATCTGCTAACTTCACTTGTACGCGAACAACACTGGTTTTTAATAAATATGGCGACCCCCGACGTTGGAAAATACATCCAAACACGCTGATCGCAAATTCCACAGCCCACGAAACAGTATCAGTACCAGCTTAGTTGTTCTGCGTTCACGTATCTGGGTAAATCTTTCAAGAAATGTCTTAATTGGGGGATTTTAATGGCTGGTATAATTAAGTTTTTTTTACTCTCTTCTTTTTCCTCCGCCAGACAGCAGTGCGTGTACTAGTGTGTTGCGGTCTGAAGGGTACCTATAGGGTATAATTACGGATGTGAGACATTCCATCTTAGTCCTTAGATATGCTAATACATCTGTAGCCTTCTTTATAAGTTAGTTGCAGCAGTCCATGTGCTGCAGTAGCCACTTACTATCAGGCGGACAGTAAGTTAATTTGTTTCTTTAATTTTAAAAAGAAATAACATAACTAACGCGAAGTAACGTGAAGTTATATACAGTTTAAATACATCTCACTGTTCTATACTGGCCTTCTCGCATTCCTGAGAGGGTTTTAGGACAAGTGAATTAGTGGCAAAGCTAGGGCTCTAAACTAGGGCAAGACCAAGATATGGTTTTTTTGTTTTTAGCAGTTTTATAAAAATACACCAATCGTGATCTGTCTCCACTCTTCAGTTTCACATTCAGTGCTGTCGAGGACGTGTTTAACAAAGCACACAGAAGGCATACTACTTATAGATAGATTGTATGACATATCAGCTATTGCATACCTTCGGTGGTTTTGAAAAAAGCTGTTAGGGTTTGCTTGAGAAAAAAAAAAGAAATTTTCGTACGATACAATACATGAACAATAGAAAAGCATCAACAAAGTACAAACTATGTACAAAATTAAAAAGGCAAATTATTTATATTCTAAATCGAATTGTCTGTCTCTCTTTCTTGAGGGAATATTTGATTACATCCGCGTAAAATGTTGGTGAACGTTTTAATTGTACAAATAACTGTTTTTCAATTGCGATAATTGATAAGTCTGAAAGGCGCTCGTGTCGTTGTGTGTTTTCTCAAAAGTTTAAAGATTTTACTTTTTTCTCGCCGATTAGCACTTTAACACACTTCAATTCATCACCAGGAACACTATTATCCCCCATTTTCAATAAAAATCTTTAAAAAGCATTAATTTTTAATTTTCAATATTCATTCACTCAAGTAAACAAACAGAGTAAACTTTAAAATGTGAAGTGAACTTGCAAACGTATCGCCCGCGTGCCCCCGCACTCGACTAACTTCACACCGAAAGCCCGGCTTTTTGCTCTATACTAATTACTATATAAACAATCGTAGTTATATTTCTTTATAGAACATTTTGCCACAGGTTAGAAAGGGAGTGATCGTCTTCTCGAAAACCCCGGTAAAAAGCCCACGCGTGCGAGAGAGACGACTAATCACTCAACTCAACTCCTTTTATATGACAGCAGTATCGCTAAGGCTACGAGGTCATGTTAGTGAATGTCCGCCGCGCTACCCTAATGTGCATTAGCCAACTTCACATGTCTTCGAAATACTTTTTTCTTATTTGTCACACATGGCGGTTTCCTCACGATGTTTTCTTAATAACATAGCGGGGACTGTTTTTCCAAACTAGATTCCTAATGTCCGAGGACAACCCGATAGTGGCGCCCAGCAAGTTGGACCTGTGCGACGATATGGAGCAGCCGCTCGCGCACTATTTCATCAACAGTTCGCACAACACCTACCTCACCGGTCACCAGATCACCGGCAAATCCAGCGTCGAGATTTATAGGCAGAGTCTGCTCGCTGGATGCAGGTGAGTTTCTCTTCCTTAATTACCTAGGTGATAAGTAAGTTACGTTCTGCTTATATTTTCCGTTTTAATGACGTATACCAAAGGAGAGTTTCTTTAGTTATTTTTGTTTAATAAACCACTTTTTATTCTTATGTTAAAGTCTAAACTTGTGACCTTTTTATTTCAGATATTGTTTCGTTAATAATTATGGACATAAGATATACACCTGAGTATCTTATGTAGTTGCATTTGACATCTGATTTTGATACTCTCAAGTGCAATTTCTTTGAATTCTATTTTTCTATTCTTTTTAAATCTAGTTTTAATTAAAAAAATCATGAACTTAGTATTGTTGATACAAATGTCTAAACCTGTTTTATTATGTGAAATAAGTACCTATACAATTTAAAGCATTCAGTACTCGATGTCGTTTTTTGGACATGATCCGAAAATCTTTATAAAATCTTCTGTTGACTGAACAATGGATACATTTGTATCTGACTTCATATATTATCATGAGTAATAACGGTTAATAACAAGGAAGTTAACAAAGTAGTTTTCACGTAGTAGTAGAGCCACGCTTCAGCTATATTATGGTTGTGGCACGAGTAGCTCGACTCGACCGGGGTAGGACTAAGCTTTCACAATACTAGCATAAAATGGCAGCTTAGTATTAGTATGTTTCGTGAGTGTAGAGATCCGGAGACCCTTTTTTTAGGAAAGAGGCATACCATCTTAGTCCTCAGGGGACATCTATATTTTGTTTCTTAATCGAGGATAAATGTAGATGTCTATGTCTATGGACCGCAGCATCCACCTACCATCGGGTGGACTGTGTGGTCGTTTGTCATCCTTATTCTTTATAAAAAATTAAAAGGTTAAACCCTGCAAATTTTTTATTGGACTCTGCATCTTATAGTAGGTATTCTATAAATAAAAAATAAAAAAAAACTTGATATTATAACTAATACTAAATATACTAATAAACTATTAAAGCGACAGTAGCCTAATGGCAGGGCGCGGACCGCGAACTCAAAAAGCTCGTGGGTTAGAATCCGCCATTCGACTACTGGCGTGAACCTCTGCTAACACAAGCAATTTAAGCTTACCACGAGTGGTTAAGGCGAATATTAGTTATGTTTATAGCATTGTTAATATACTTTTTAACAAAGAAAAAAATACATTTAAACTTGAACGACAAATTTATCGAAACGAAGTATTAATATTTTGATTTCTCTCTGACGTGTTGCGGCGATCAAAGGGATTCATTACGTCTTGTAAGAGTCGACTATGAGACTGGCATGAACGACCTCGTGAACGACAGAGCAAAAAAATATATCTTATATATACCGTTACTTTACCGTGTAGTGGCGGTATAAGAATATCCACTGCTCCATATCATCCTGTTGGTTTCGAAAGAGGTGACAAAGGCTTACAAATTAGGAGATTGTTATAGCATTTTCCTAATAACGACTTAGAATAAAAGTACTGCGGTTGTCAATCCGCTTGCCAAGAGCGGCAACTATGGCAAATATATAAGGCAATATATAGGCGAGGCCTATGGTCAGCAGTGGACTTTAAAATGCTGTAACGGTAACGGTAAATTACCCAGGCCTCCAACGGATCACGACATCTCTTCTTTCTATCACCAGTCCGCCTGTCAAACGTGATGATAATGGAAAATGCTTACTATAATTGAAGAAATTTTTTTACGTGATAGAGTCAACTGCAGCTAAGTCATCTTATGGTTGTAGCACGAATGGGGAAGCTTGACCGGAGAAGGGCCGCGCTCTCACAGAATACCAGCGTAAAAAAGCAGCTTAATGCTGCTGTGTTTTGTATGGTGAGTCTAGAAAACCAGAGACCCTTTTTACTGGTAACGAGGCTTTTATCTCAGTTCTCAGTGGTGGCAACGCATTTTTAATCGTGGATAGATGTCGATTTCCATGGGCCAAAACATCCTCTTACTACTGGGCTGTGTGCACGCGGTCATCATGTTTTGTCATACTAATTAAAAAAAAAACGACTCATGTTCAACATTCTTAAGTGTTCAGCAACTGTCAAGAGGAGCTGATAAATAAATAACGAATACTATACTATAACCGTTTTACACATACACGTCGCACATTTGCGGATCAGATTGCGTTTAAATTGCTCATGTGTGAGCAGCAACGGGTTTAGATATCCTTAGTTATGCTTGTTTTCATGAAAAGTGCAGTCTTCGTCACGCTGTGTGAAGATTTGGAACGTACCCACTACAGACTACATACACTTACTACTTACTACATTTACTTACTTATTTAATTTAAGAACATTGCGTGGATCTGTGGACGGTGTATTTGTTTAATGAGTTCTAAGTAAAAGTCTAGCAAGATACATTTCACTGTTGGGCATGAACCTATGATGTTAAAAAGGATTATGTCTGAAATCGGTCCGTCACGGTTCCAATGAGTATTGGCGGACTTCATAGTTCTCAAAAACATTTTAAATACATGTTTGTTTCACCGACGGACATGAAACCCGATTAACAGTTTTTGTGGTGCTTGCGAGAATTAAACTCGGATTGTCTATGAAATTATTGTGACCCCGTATATTTATATAAAAATATAAATTGGGGCATTTTGTTATAATTTTTATAAGGGTTTACCTTTTTTAACTGTAATTAACACTTACATAATACTTTCGTTAACTAACTTCAATTAAGCTTAAAACGCTTCTGCTAAGAGCTGCTCAAGGCATTACCGAATGGCAGATTCGAACCCATGACCTCTTAGTTTCGCAGTTCGTATCCTTAACTAACAGGTCACTATTGTTTATACTGTTACATATTTCACTACACATTCTAATCACTCACTGTTGCTTATACTGTTACAAATGTTCAAAATGTTAGACATTTCGAAAACATGATATTATGATATTATTTAATTCCCCTCTTATACCGTTGACTTGTTACATTGTTTGACTAATTTAATAATATTTTAAAGCACTTGCCTGAGGTCAAATTCTCAGCGTCGTACGCGGTCTACGCTTTTTTTCCCAATGGTCTGTTATTATATATTTACGACGCGTTCAGTGCGTATGTACGGATAGTTGAGTATTACTGTACAGATTTCACGAGTCGCGTACGGAGATTAAATGTGCGACGTTGTAGTTACTATTTGCAAAGTTATTAAATATATATAAAAGTAAAAAAAATGAACTTGGCATTAAAATGAACTGTAGGCTTATAAGTATTTATTCTTCATCATCTTCTTTTTTCTCATATACAAAAATCAGTTGCTGTCCGTTAGCCGCGCTAAAACTCGCGAACGGCTCGAGTGATTTTGATCAATATTTTGTGTGTATTTGACCCTAACCTAATCTAACCCTAAATTATTTAAAAACTCAATTGGGCCCGGTAGGTGGCGCTGTTGTCGAGGTCCAGAAATGACCCGTGCAAAGTCGGGACCGATCGCTAGTTTGCAATAATTTCACGTGTTTGTTTGTAGTTAATATGAGTTATAAAGAAAATGTGTAAATTTTGCATTAACTTGGACAATGTGCACAATCACCGTAATTTGTCGCCCTTATAGCGAGCACAACGTTTTATTATACCATTTGAATTCGTTAGTGGAAACTTGCCAAGGCTTTATCCGTGATATTTCCATTTTATGTATTTTATCTTTCATCGTTAAGTTTGCTACATTATATTTGTCTGTGTTTTATTAATTATAAATTTGAATAACTGCTTGTATAATGGCATTCTCTTTCACCCTCGCCTGAAATCTATTTAAAATATATACCTTGTCCTTCTTTGGACATTGGTCACTTCTGGCGTAAGATTTGCCTTATTAAGCATGCCTGGATAGTCGCTTGACAATCGCAATGCCTACGTTGGGTATACTTCAATGTTTCGCGTATCTCATAAAGTATTATTTGTTTTCACATGTTATTTTCCATAACATTTGTAACACTTTTTCATTCGTTCAAATCATTTTTGAAAACAAGGACCATTGGTCTGAGGATTTTCAACCATGTTTTCACGTGGTTGAAAGTTGGGCAGGGTCTCGCCTGGCACCGTAAACGTAAAAAAATCGCATGGTGTGAGGTCTGGACTGTGTGCAGGATAGGTAATGAGTTCCGCCTCACACTTTTTTGTGAGAAGTCTTACTCATCAAGTGGGATTGAGCAGACAGGAGAAAAAACGCAATCATTTTTTTGCCAGCATCTTTTGCTGTCACCTTCGAACACCTGTACAGAAAACTGTAGTTTTGATAGAATCAGGCGTTATATTGCGGAAATCCATTATAGTAAGGATATTAATTAATTTGCAACCTTCCGCTAACTAAATACAATGATGGGTCTTACCTGGATTGAAGAGCACCTCCCACCCTCCTTCAATTGCGTGCACTAATTCCGTCACCACTACTCCCAGCACCACTACTCCCTGCACCACTATTCCAGGAAAGACACACCATCGATGATAATACGACATGTGTTTCGCCTCTACACGAGGCATCCTCAGGCGATGTAGACTCTACGGCGGCTGACCGCTAAGTGATCTTAGCTTAGCGGTCAACCGTACCGTAGTGCGTTCACGAAATTTGGCGGCTGGGATTAATCCGAACAATTCCTCAGAGCACTCTCCGTGGTATATGCGAAAGAAAATGCAAAGAGATGCAACATCTCTTCGCAATGCCAGTGAATCGAGCCGATCGGAAAGCACTCGGTAGTCGACAATTCGAGCCGCTCTGTGCTGTATGCGGTCAAGTGGAAGGAGCTGGTACTGAAGAGTCCCCGCCCAGAGATGGGAACAGTATTCCATGTGCGGCCGAACCTGCGCTTTGTAAAATTGCAGGCGGTGTGCCAGCATGAAATACTGTCCCGCTCTGCTGAGCACGCCAAGCTTTTTTAGAGGCCAATTTGGCCTTCTCTTCCAAGTGACCACGAAACTGCACTTCACTCGATATGTCGACGCCGAGGATTCCGATACGGGCTGAGGCAACAAGGGGAGTGCCTTGAAGCTGAGGAGATACGACAAAGGGGTTCTTTTTAGCGGTTAACGCGCAAACTTGTGTCTTCTGGGGGTTAAACTGGACTAGATTTAGTCGCCCCCAATCCGAGACTCTGTTCAGCAAAGACTCGACTTCGGACACAAATTTGTCCCGGCACTCGGAGACGTTTTCCCGAGAAATATTGGCTCGACCGCTGTAAAGAGCATCACCAGTGCTGTCATCTGCATATCAATGAATGTTACGGGCTTGCAACATATCATTGATATGCAGAAGAAACAGCGTTGGCGATAGCACGCAGCCTTGTGGAACACCAGCATTAATAGGCTTGCAATCGGAGCATGCACCGTCTATTACGACCTTGATGCTCCGATCTGCAAGAAAGCTGGTGATTCAATCGCACAATTTCTTGGGAAGCCAATAGGAAGGGAGCTTCGAAAGAAGCGTTTTGTGCCAAACCCGATCGAAGGACTTCGCAATGTCCAAACTAACGGCCAATGCCTCCCCCTTGGACTCTACTGCCTCCGCCCATCTGTGAGTTAGGTAGACCAGAAGATCACCAGCTGACCGACCACGGCGAAAACCGTATTGGCGGTCATTAATCAGCTGGTGATCCTCAAGGTACCTCATGACCTGGCAGTTTACAATGGATTCCATTGTTTTGGAGAACAAGGAGGTGATGGCTATAGGCCGGTAGTTGGACGGGTCTGAGCGGTCGCCTTTTTTAGGGATCGGGTGGAAGAAAGCCGTCTTCCATGATTTTGGGACTACGCCTAGGGAGTAGGAGTACCGGAAAAGACGCGTTAAAACCGGTGCCAACTCAGGAGCACACGTCCTCAGCACAATTGGGGAATTCCGTCTGGCCCACTCGACTTGTGGATGTCCAGGGAGAGGAGTGCTTTGCGAACCGAGCGCTGTGTGAACTGCACTTCCGGCATGGAGCACTCACACCGCGGGATGGTCGGCGGCGTACTCCCCCGTCATCGAGAGTCGAGTTGGGCGCAAAGAAAGAGCCTAGCAGATCGGCTTTCTCCTTTGCGGTATGGGCCAGTGAGTCGTACTCCCTGTGCAGAGATGGAAGAGATGGCTGACAGAAATTCCCCTGGACAGCCTTCCCGAGAGACCAGAATGCACGGGTTCCAGAAGTAAGGCGAACTAGTTTCTCGCCAATTCTGCCTATTTGCTCTGAATATGCCAAGGCAATGACTCTAATGAAGGACCTAGAGGCATTATTATACTTCTTTTTTAGAGCGCTGGTGTTTACATCCCGGGACGCTGATGCGTCAGCCCAGGCTTGGTAGCACTCCAGCTTATAGCATGATGCTATTTTACAGGAGCGACCAAACCATGGCTGAGATTTGCCTCCAATGGGCACCACAGAGGAAGGAATAAAAAGTTCCATACCCTGAAGTACCACATCAGCGTCAGAATCCGCAACAACGTTGGGATCGTCCGGCGAGAAGCAAACCCGCCCCCAAGGGTAGGATGCAAAGAAAGACCGCATCCCATCCCAATCGGCTGACCCATAGTGCCAAACACGGCGGCAGCCTGCAGAATGCAACTGCGATTTCAGCTTGAGTGGCACCACACTCCGGACAAGACAATGGTCCGAAATCTGATATCCGTCCGGGTGATTGGTCAGCAGAAGGTCCAACAGGAAAGGTGCATGATCCTCCACATCTGGAATCCGCGTAGGTGAAGTAACCAGTTGTGTCAGACCATATGCCAAGGCAAACTGATAAGAGTAGGTATGTACCAATTTTTTATAGAATAAGGGTGACAAACGAACACACAGTTCACCTGATGGTAAGTGGATGCTAAGGCCCATAGACATATACATTATCCTCGATTAAGATTGGAAATGCAGATGCGTTGTCACCCCTGAGGACTAAGATGGAAAACCTCGTTTACAGTAAATAAGGTAAATAGGGTCTCCGGTTCTCTATACTCACCATACGAAACACTGCAGCTTTAAATTGCTATTTTACGCTGGTATTTTGTGAGAGCGTGGTCCTATTCTGGTCGAGCCGACACATTCGTACTACAACCATAATATAGGTGCAGCGTGGCTCTACCACGTTAACTTACGTTTAAAGATAGTTCTTTAGTCTGAATATTTATATGTATTTAATCGTGTAAATACATATTCTTGTACACACAGACATATACGACAGGCCTCTATTCCGCGAGGGAGTAGGCAGAGTCCAACTAGCAGCGGGGTCCACGTTTAGCCCAAAATAATATTTTAGCCTAAAATATATTAGTTTAAATGGAAAATTGTGAAAGAAGTGATCGGTAGGTAGCGTGTCGCCTACACAGTCATGAACCGTATAACCTAGTGGGATTATACGGTTCATGACTGTTTGATTCACCTTTTATAACAATCTAGGCAAGTAAAACTTTTGGCATAATCTTTTTGTCATTAGTGCCACAAACATAGGATTTATATGTCCCAGACCAATACGGGAAAAATAACTTGTATAGGTTTATATATTTATCTTATATTATTTTCTTTTCAATAAGGTAACCTAGATAATTCGTTTTAATAGTTTCCTACAAAAACATATGATTGTGATATTCAAACTATTGTGTTATATATCCTAGTTGTATTTTCACACGTAAAAAATAACCTTAGTTAAGTATTTTTTATAGGATAGGGTGACAAACGAGCACACAGTCCACCAGATGGTAAGTGGTTGCTGTGGCCCATAGACATCAACATCTATCCTCGATTACGAATGAAAATGCAGATGCGTTGTAACCCGGGAGGACTAAGATGGAATGCCTCGTTTCCAGTAAAAAGGGTCTCCGGTTCTCTACACTCACCATACCAAATATAGCAGCATTAAGCTACTATTTGACGCTGGTATTCTGTGAGAGCGTGGTCCTTTCCCGGTCGAGCCGACCCATTCGTGCTACAACTATACTACTAATATAACTGCAGCTTGGCTCTACCACGAAAAATAAAAACGAGGAAAATATGATTTTTCTATAGATGCGTGGAATTGGACTTCTGGAACGGCCGCACGGAAGAGCCGGTTATAGTTCACGGGTACACGTTCGTGCCGGAGATAAGCGCGCGCGAAGTCCTGGAGGCGATCGCCGAGAGTGCTTTCAAGACGTCCGACTACCCGGTTATCTTGAGTTTCGAGAACCATTGTAATCCTCGACAGCAGGCCAAGATCGCCAACTACTGCAGGGATATCTTCGGTGATATGCTACTCGATCGTCCACTCGACTCACATCAACTCGAACCAGGTTAGTTACTCGTTATAATTTCGTATGGTGTGCGGTTCGATTTTTAAATAAGATTTTGTTTCATCATCATCAGTCCTGCGATACTCTACTGCTGAACATAACCTCTCGCAAGGTGCGCCATTTAGCTCTGGCGGTGTAGATTTATCTGCTCTTTCCTATATTATACTACAGGTGTCGGTTAAAGGCGAAAGAAGGAAACTGAACGAGATGATAGTCAGCAATATCTTCTTAATAACAGCTGTAAAATAATAAAAGTTGCTCACCAAGTTTGGCAACCGTGGCCAATATCTCTTCTATGAGGCGATTGGCGAGATCTATGTTAAGCAGTGTACACTTGATAGGATGTAATGGTTTTGGTGAAAATATGGTGGCGCTGCTATCGCCCTACAATTTCACACTTAAACCAAACAAGATCTACAGTTTAAATCATACTATCGATATTTACGTCAAGTAAAAAGTTTGCAAACGTGATGTTTGCAAACTTTTTACTTGACGGGACTTTGTTCGCTTCTCGGAAATATAGCTTGCAGTGTCGGCATTCCCTGATTCAGATGAAACTTTAAAAACCTGGCTAACAGCACGAACTGTTTACGTAAATAGTTTTTGTGAACACCTGTTGTAATTTTTGTTTAGTGTTTAGTATATTTAATTGTAGGATAAAATAGTTCAATTTTTTTAACGTGATTTTAAAATAAAATATGTGTATATTATTTACCTATTTGATAAATTATAATGACAAAACTTCGAACCTACTATAATTGTTGCGTTAATGGATGCTTAATGAGTAAACAAAAGGGTTCAGATATATCATTTTTTATGTTACCTAAGGATAATGAAAGGTACATTTATTTCCTTTTTTGTGTTAAATAAAACTTATAGCAAAAATAATTAATAATAATTTAAATACAGAAGTAATACCTAAGTACTTTATTTGAAAACTTAGTTGAAATTTACTTCACTATCTAAGTAGGTAACTTACACGTTTTTTGTAATTAAAATGTTTTAAGTAATACTAACACAATACACTGAAATTAAACCTTTCTTTACAAGATTTTTAACTAATTAGAATACAATCACATTTCATTTAGGAATTGTATTTTGGGTCTATTTGTTGTTTACACTACCTACCTATTTCTTCCGAGCGATTTATTAAATCGCGATCACAGAATAAATAATAGTACTACGTACAGAAGTTTCACTATTTTGATGTTGACTGCTTGTCGTCATTTAATAGCCTATATAATTATTATTAATAAGATAAATTGCGCACGCAAGCTAAATAAACTTTTGTCGCTGCGCGCGAGTGTCCGTATTACTTTGCATCTTTTCCCACTCCCACATCACGGCTGTTTTTTCGTGGTTACCTAGGGCTGTCAAGAATATATTAAAAATGTATTAAAAACACATGTATGTAGGTACTTATTAAGCTTATAATATGTTTTAATACATGCTCATTTATCTACTATTTATGCACACTTCTATTTACGGATCTCCTTCACCAAGGCATAGAATAAATAATGTGTAGGTAGCTACTCGTACGTTACCAAGGTTTGCCTGGAAGAGATCACTGTTAAGCGATGAGGCCACCTAATTGTACATAAATTTATATGTTGTGTGCAATAAAGAGTATAAATAATTAATTAATTATTACGTTGCGAAATGGTAAATAAAATAGGTAAGGTACCTATTCTGACTGATCGAATGAAAATATTTTTGCTACTATGCGAATTCTGTGCCTAACGCATGCAACGTGCAAGGTCACTCGTAGTGATAATAAATCGCTCGGAAGAAATAGGTAAAGTAAACAACAAATGAACCTGAAATAAGATTCCTAAATGAAATGTGATTGTATTCTAATTAGTTAAAAATCTTGTTAACAAAGTTTTAATTTCAGTGCTTTGTGATAACTTAAAATATTTTGATTACAAAAGACATGTAAGTTACCTACGTAAATTTCGTAAGTTACCTACGTAAATTTCAACTAAGTTTTGTAATAAAGTACTTAGGTATTACTTCTGTATTTAAATTATTACGTAATTATTATTTGCTATAGGTATTTATTTAACAAAAAAAAGTAACAAATATACCTTTCATTATCCCTAGGTAACTTAAAAAATGATATATCTGAATCTTTTTGTTTGCTCATTATGCATCCACGGAACAATTAAGTATACTAGGTTCGAGTAATAATTATAGTGGGTCGTAGTTTCGCCATTATAATTTATCAAAAAGATAGGTTTATTATATACACATATATTATTTTTAAATCACATTAAAAATTTTGAACTATTTTATCTTACAATTAAATTAAATTAATTACTAAACAAAAATTACAACAAGTGTTTACAAAAAGCTATTTACGTAAACAGTGTTAAAAATACATCAATCGCCCAGAACGTGCTAGCCCCGACCCCTGGGTGAATCGCGATTTTAGGTAGTTATTTCACGCAGGAAGCAAGAGTGACAAGAGGCCTGTCGCGATTCGCAATTGTAAATTGTAAATTAAATAAATCATTAATGTTATACATACTGTATTTTTTACACTTTTTTGAGAGCCCTAAGTAATCACGGAAAAACACCCATGATGTGGAAGTGGGAAAAGATGCAAAGTAATACGGACACTCGCGTGCAGCGGTGAATGTTTATTTAGCTTGCGTGCGCAATTTATCTTATTATTAATAATTATGTAAGCAGTCAACATCAAAAGAGTGTAACTTCTGTACGTAGTACTATTATTTATTCTGTGATATAGCTCAATGTTTTATATTATACCTAAACATCAGTTGCCAGTTTACTGCAGCCTGTATTTCGGTACGTACACAAAGTTTTTAATACGCGTGTTGAAGTTACGGTTATTACTTTTTTTAAATATTAAAATAGTTTCTTACGGTCAAGTCTGGCAACTTTTTAACAGTGGAAGTTAACTTTGCCATCAGGGGTGTGCTGGTACAAAAATACGATTAACACGCAGAACGTAATGTTTTTCGAGATATGATCTTTTGAATTGAAATTCAATAACTAATTGACAGCACTGTTTTCGATATGGCAAGTGAGTTAATCTTGGCATTTTATTTTAACGCGAAATTGTGCCGGCGAAGTAACCTCTTAGTTCAGTGCTCCAGAACTTTTGCTGTTTTTGAATATCTTTGTAGTAACGTAATATTAATGGCTAGGAAATGTAATATTAGGTATATTGTTTTTTACATGTTGGTCTTAACATTTATTTATAAAACTAACTTGGCAAATTTACCATACTAGTGATACGGCGATATGTGACGGTTACTTTGTCGTGTTTTGCTACCACCGAGGGTTGTCACTTTCAACCTGAATTTCAACCGATTACGACGATTTAAAGAAAGCGTTCTGTAATTGACATTCTATGTATGTATGTTTGTGTCGATGTTTCTTAGTATCAGCCCAATAGACCAATTTTACCAAATGATTTGTCAATCGATTCACCTTTATCAAAAGTGAAGGAATAGAAAAGGGAAATCCATATTACTTTTACTGCGTTGTCGGGCATTAAGTATTTGTCATAATTTCAATTAGTGTCTTAGTATTTTGCAAACAAAAACAGGACTATTTTTAAAGATTATGAATGTTTTGCTATTGTGGGAAAAAATATTTATTTGCCATATGGTCTGACACAACTGGTTACCTCGCCTACGCGAATCCCAAATGTAGAAGACCATGTACCTTCCCTGTTGGACCTTCTGCTGACCTCTCATCCGGACGGATATCAGGTCGCAGTTGGTGCCCCTCTTAGTTCCTCGGACCATTGTCTGATCCGGAGTACGGTGCCACTCACAATCCCATCGCGGTTGCGTTCGATCTTTGCATTGGAAGGGTTTCTTGCCTCCAAGGAAGGATGCAAAAAATAATTCTTCGCCGGATGATCCCAATTTTGTTGCTGATTCTGTCACTGATGTGGTGCTACAGGGAATGGAACTTTTTATTCTGTCATCTGTGGTACCTATCGAAGACAGAACCCAGCCTTGGTTTGGTTGCTCCTGCAAAATTGCATCACGTTATAAACAGTAGTGCTAACAGGCCTGGGCTCACGCATCGACGTCTCGGGATATAAGTACCAGCGCTCTTAAAAAGAAGTATAATTTCGCCTCCTGGTCCCTCAAAAGAGTCATTGCCAAGACAAAGTCTGAGCACATCGGCAGAATTGGAGAGAAGCTAGTTCGCCTTCCTTCGGGAACCCGTGCATTCTGGTCTCTCGCAAAGGCTCTCCAAGGGAACTTCTGACATCTCTCCCATCTCTGCACAGGAAAGACGACTCACTGGCCCACGCCCGAAAGGACAAAGCCGATCTGTTAGGCTCTCTCTTTGCGTCCAACTCGACTCTTGATAACGGGGGGAACACACCGCCGACCATCCCGCGGTATAAGTGCTCAATGCTGGATGTGCTGTTTACTCAACGCTCAGTAAGCAGAGCACTCCTCTCCCTGGATGTCAACAAGTCGAACGGACCTGATGGCGTCCATCCTGTTGTGCTGACAACGTGTGCTACGGAGTTGGCACCGGCCTTAACACGTCTTTTCCGGTACTTCTACTCTCTACGCGTAGCCTCGAAATCATGGAAGACAGCTTACGTGCACCCGATCCCTAAAAAAGGTAACCACTCTGATCCGTACAACTAAAGGCCTTGTTCTCTAAAATAATGGAGTCCGTTATTAACAGTCAGCTCATGCGGTACTTTGAGGATCACCAGCTGATTAGTGACAGCCAGTACGGCTCGCGGCCGTTCGGTGATCTTCTGGGTCACCTAAGTTATAAATGGGCTGAGGCAGTAGAGTCCAAGGGGGAGGCGTTGGTTGCCGCTGGTTTGACATAGTGAAGACCTTCGATCGAGTTTGGCACAAAGCGCTTCTTACGAAGCTTCCTTCTTATGGGCTTTCCGTGAAATTGTGCATTTGGATCAACAGTTTTTTGCTGATCGGAGCATCAAGGTCGTGATAGACAGTACATACTCCGATTGGAAGCCCATTAAC